GAGAAGCTGGACTTTCCTCCCAGGAACAAGGTCAATAGCTTCAGAATGACAGCGCTTGAACCCCAACCCTCTGATGTCAAGTTCAAGACCCTTTGCCAGTATGCCCTGCTGCTCCTCCGTAGAGCGCCTTTACCAGGTCGAAAAGAAACTCCTGTATTTTGTAGGGTGTGATTGAAAGAGAAATACTTTGCTTACTGTTTCAAATATGAATAAATTAAGTTCTGGGAATGGCTTGCCAGTCACCTCTCTATCTAGAGCATTAGGGCATCACAGAACCCCAGTGAACTAGATCTTGGCCTGCAGTTCCCAGGCACCACCTCCCTGGTCTTTCCTGTAGGCTGGGTGTGGAGAGGTGCCAGATGGAACAGGTCCAGTGGACCATAGGAGAGAAGCAGGAACCAGCAAGACAGTGAAATGAGGACTGGGTGGTTCCCCTCAGCCAATATAGAGAATCAACAGCCTCATCAAAAAGTATTAACTAGTTAGGAACTAATGCCTCTGGTAGACTATGTCACTCTCAACCTAGACCTCCAGAGGCTCTGAGCTTCTCCCAGGCTGGTGGCCGCAAGGGAAAACAGTGTGTTCTGAGAACACTCCTACGTGCTTAGGAGTGGAATTAGAATAAGAGCACGATTCACTCTGGGGGACCTGAGCCCTTGTTAAGTACCGGCAGTGAGCTCTGTGTCGTTCCACTGTCCCTGGAGTGCCGTCAGCCAGTCTCCTGGGGGCCCCCGGCTGATCCCGTGTAGCCATTCAAGGATTCAAGGAAACAGCCGTGCAGATGAGAATGCATTAGATGAGAAGGGGAAACTCTCTGGGCTCATAGAGCAGAGCGGCAGGTGCATCCTCTTGATTTGAAGCCCTCCGAGAAGGGCAAAGATAAACTTCTGGGCAAGACAAATCATTCATTGTGTTGGCTGGTGAGTTTTAGAACTGATCTCTGAATTCTACTCATCTTTTTCACTTTGTGCTCACATGAGCAACATGATAATGGCACCCATGGAAATCAAATGCAAAGCTCTTTTGCAATTGTCCAAAACCTCATGCCTCCCCCTCCCCAGATCAAACTCTTTTGCTTCCCTCCCCCCGCATCCTCCCCCCAGCATTTCTCTCACTTTTGAGGTCTTCTTCCCACCTGCTTCCGCACGCACCTTCTCGCCTGGCCTGCCTCCTGCTTGAATGCCCGCTCTTTCTGATTCTCCTTTCTGGCTCATTGCCCCCACCTTGACCCTTTTTTGCTTTTTCATCTGGACTCAGATCCTTTGTTACCTCACCAAGTCTTCTGACTTTAAATACCACCTATAAGCTGATGAACTACCCAATTATACTTCTGACCTGGCACCAGGTCAGAGTCCAAACTCATTTCCCCACCTCTTCTGGGATATCTAATTGGCATCTCAACCTTACCATATTCAAAGATGAAGCTTTGATTTCCCACCTCCACCTTGCTCCTCCCTGTGTCACCCCCACTTTAGGGAAGGACACCACCCCTCACTCCGTCAAGGCCCAAGCCCAGGCCTCCCTGGTGGTGCTGTCAGTAGCCTCTGCAGCATGAGTGTAACCCCGGCCAGCAGGTGACCGCTCTCCCTGGCTGCTCCTTCAGCAGTGTATTTCAGTCAATTTACCTGTTCTGCTCCCCACTCTGTGAGAGGTGAATCCTCTCACCCCTCCCGTGCACCACTGGCCTGTACCCCAGTTCTGTATGCATAAATAAATCTCCTAAAAAAAGAAAGCCCAACCCCTAAGAATTGTGTGTACTTACCTCCCACCCATCAGCTAGTCCTGTTAGCTATCAATTCAAAATGTATGTGAAATCCAGGCTGTTCTTCACTGCAACTCTTCTGTCCAATCTGCTGTCCTCTCCTACCTGGGCCACTGATGCACTGGCCCTTTCACTACGTATTCCCTTGCCACCTATAGTTAATCACTACAGACAAATACCCCTAAGTCAGCTCATGTTCTTCCTCTCCTCAAAACCCTCAATCATTTCCCATCATTCTTGACATAAAAACTAGGGTCTTCACAATGACCCTTGTGCCAGATCCACATCATCTTACCCCTGGTGGCCCCCACGTACCGCTCTCCAGCCACCCCAGCCCATCACTGTTCCTCAGTATGCAAGTCTGTTCTTGCCACAGGTCCCGATCCCTCTGCCTAGAATGATATTCCTCCGACTTTGAAGAGATCAGGTGTGGGGCCTCCCTGGTGGTGCAGGGGTTGAAAACAGCGCTATAAAGCTATCACCAGCCACTGCAGTAGGAATTCGATCCCCGGCCAGGGAGCTGACCCACATGACACAGAAGACCTCTCCTGTCTCACCCGCTGCTCCCCTCAGCAGTATATGTCAGAAAATCTGCCTCTTCTGCTCCCCGCTCTGTCTCTGGTGAATCCTCTCACCCTGTCCCCCCAGAGAAGAGGGAGAACATGATCTGACTTAAGGGCATTTGCCTACATCCCAGTTTTTGTATGCATAAATATATCTTTCAAAAGAGAGAGAGACAGAGAGACAGAGAGAGAGAGAGAGAGAGAGAGAGAGAGAGAGATATCAGGTGTCCCCTTCATTCAACAAAAATATTGCCTCCCCTGAGTGGTCTTCCTAGACCACGCTGGTCTGACTGACCCACCTGGTCATGTTTTCCCCAAACATGCATTGTTCTCCATAGGGATAATCCACGCATGAAATTATATAATGTTTACATGGCTCCTCAGACAGAGAAGAAGCTCCAGGTATTTGGGCTCTTCTGTTTGTCTTCCCAATATTTTACTCCCAGTGCCTGGGACAGTGCCTGGCACATGGAGTGTGCTTATTAAATTCTTGTTGATTTAATGGATTTGCTCTTTTGTCAGATTTTAAAATTACTCTCCATTAGGCAACTTTACAATGTCATGATAGATTTGGATTTTTTTTTAAGAGAAAATCAATTTTACCTAAATCTACTCCTCTACACACAACTATTGTCAGTCCATGGGCTATTTCCTTTTAGTCCCTTTTGGATTTTTATATCATCTTGGGTGAGGCTACCTCTGCGCCTCACCGTACTGTCTCTGGGTCCCCTAACTCTTTGCCCTCGGCTCTCATCTGCTGGCCTGGATGACTCACATCCATACAGGAAGAGGCCCCACTTCCTGTCATCGTTTAGAACAGAGGAAAGGGGAACCAGGCTTACCATGAAACTCGAGAGGATTCCCTTCGACCCCGGTCATTCATCCACAGGCATTTCCTGAGCTCTGGACCCATGTTAGGGACGGTGGTGCTCATGGAGGGTGGAAAATTGGATGCCATGGTCCCTGTTTTCAGGGAACTCATAGGCTAGAAGGAAAGAGAAGCATAGAGACATCTAAGGAGCTATGAAAAGGGTGGGTAGGTGGTAAACAAGGCTGCAGGACCCCAGGGGGCAGGGGACTAGCTCTGGGAAAGGAAGTTAACCATGCAGGCAGTCATGGAAGCCTGACAGCAGGCGAGTCTGGGCAAGAGCAAGCATTCTGTGTAGCTGGAGTGCAGGGTACCTGGGCGGGAGTAAGGTGGGGTCACGAGGGGCAGAAGCCCAAGCAGGAAGGTAGGTAGAAACCAGGTCACATGGAGGGTTATGTATTGAGCTGAGAAATTTGGACTTCATTCCCAAACTGTTGGAGATCCAGTGAAAAGCAAAATTTTCTGATGGAAAGTTCTTAGTTCATTCACTTGTTCAATTATTCATTCATTCATCCAATAGATCTGGACTCTCTATTCTATACTAAGTCCAGTATTTTCCTGAGTTCTGAGGGTATGGTAGTTAATAAGTTATCACTTCCCTTCCTTTATAGAGCCAGTGATCCATGAGGGCTAAAGAGAGGTTATTTGCCAGCTCTAGCCCTAGAGAGCTGTCTGAATAAGAAAGCTTATTATAAAAAGAAAAGAAAGAAAGAAACAATTCCCTTAACAATAGGTATGTGTCAGCAGTTATGGTATGTCTATACAATGGAATATCACATAGCCAAGCTTAGGAGAAAGATTTATGTTGCTCTTTTTTTTTTTAAAGACATTTATTTATGCATACAGAACTGGGGTACAAGTTAGAGGAGCAGGGACAGTGAGAGGATTCGCCAGAGACAAGAGTAAGCAAACAGACAGATTGATGAAGTACACTGCTGAGGGGAGCAAGAGAGGGCTGGCATGCCATGTGGGTCACCTTCCTGGCTGGGGATCAAAGTCATGCTGCAGTGGCTGTGGCGAACTATTCATAGTGCTGTATTTTAACCCTTTGTGCCACCAGAAGGGCCCTATGCTGCTCTTTAATAGCATGGAAGAAAAATGTATGATGCTCTCTTGAAAAAATTGGTGGAAAGTTTTAGATAGATAGATAGAGAGAGAGAGAGAGACACCTCAATGAGGGAAACTAAGCATAAAAAGATTATAAAACATACAAATATATTAATTGTAGCTGCTTCTCACAGAGTCATTTTTCTGCTTCTTTGTGCTTATACTGTACCAAAGATGTTTTCTCTATAAAGCATACTTACTTTTTCAAACCAATATTTATTGCAAAAGGAAATAGAGCAAGAAATAAAAGTGGGGTCGGGGGGACATGGCAGACATTTGCCTACATGACATGACTTAAGTATCACCCCTGGGAGGGCTGGATCATGGAGGACTTCTGCCTTCGGGCACATCCTTCGGGGTCCACACAACGGTCATCCTCGCTTACCCATGAAAGCGCACACAGGACCTTCCGTCTTGACAGTGCAGCCCCTGAACAAACGTGTCTCCCAGAGCGAAGCACTTGGGGGTGACAAGTTCTGATCCCACTTTATTCTAAGCAACTTGAACAACAGTCTCCCCTGTTCCTGGTGCTCCTCTCCCTGGAGGGCATGTTCCAAAGACCTCTCCTGGAAACGTGGTAAGCAGGAGATCCGTGCAGGGCAAGCTGCTCCCCAAGGTTCTGTGTGCCTCTAACCTTCTGTCTCATCCTACCTTGCTAGCAACTAATACTTTCTTTTCTTTTTTTAAAAATCTCTTCCAGGAAATGACCGCAATGGCCTAGATTTCAACAGACAGGTAAGTACTTTCAGAAAGAAAGAAAAAATATTTATTCTGTCACGTTTGGGGGTCATATGAGGTGAGATGTAGGGGAGATAAAAAATGGATAAGTCTGGCCCTCCCTGGTGGCGCAGCGGGTTAAAGCACAGCACTAAGAAGCTAAAGCCACTTCCGCATGAGTTCGATTCCCGCCTGCCCCGGAGGTGACCACATGGTGTGGCAGACCTCTCCTGGCCCGCCCGCTGCTCCCATCAGCAGTGTACTTCGTTGATCTGCCTGTTAAAAAAATAAATAAATAAATAAATAAATAAGTAAGTCAAGTTGGGTGTGTTTATCACAAACTCAGCTCCCAGGATTGGAAGGGAGCTTTGAAAAGGGCTGTTGTGTCCAACTTCTCCCCTCCAACCCGCACACAATGTCAGGCTCTACTTTTCTACTTTTCACTGTCCCCTGAAAAAAGCACTGACACAGGGAACACCTGTTTAGTGTTCCCTGTGTTTAGGGTTTAGGGTTAAATGCGTGTCAGGTGTGGCGCAAAATCAGCAAATGCCCTTCTGTCAAAGCTCAGGCTGTGTTGCCTCTTGAATGACTCTGTTTGCACAACTGGCTGTGTATGGAGGAATTTGTGAAGGGGAAGAGTGAAATTCCCTGGTTCCTCAGGGAGCTCTTGATATAAAGGACAAAATGGGGGGGAAACAGAATTGCTCAAGGAGGAGTTCACAGCTTAGCCGTGGGCCAATGTAGACACAAGCATGGTGCCTTTGAGACTGAGGTGGATGGGGTTAGGTTCAGTCAGGGAGAGCTGGGAGGGGGAGGATAGAAGTGGTTGTAGAAAGAGAAGGAGAGGTGTGGGGGCGGGGGGAGGAGGGGAGATAGCTCTTCCCCTTCCAGTTGTGGGCTGATGGGAAGACTGGGCAGTGAGGGTTCAGACCAGCTGTGACGTTAGAAGCAGATGGTGGGAACGTTGGTTGGGAGGTAGAAATCTAAGTGGAAGACGAGCAGGAGCAGAGGTGGAGTAAGGTGGGAATTAGGGATAAAGTCAGGCCCTCCCTGGTGGCTCAGCGGGTTAAAGTGCAGACTGTGAAGCTAGCCTCAGACACTTCAGCGCAAGTTCGATCCCCTGCCTGGGAGGTGAATCACTTGGCACAGCAGATCTCTCCTGACCCACCTGCTGCTCCCCTCAGCAGTGTACTTCGTTGATCTGCCTGCTCTGCTCCCCACTCTGTCTCTGGTGAATCCTCTCTGCCCTTGCACCTCTGGCCTGTATCCTAGTTCTGTATGTATAAGTAAATAAATCTTTAAAAAATAGATATAAAGTCAGAAATTTGGGGGTTTGGTTCCATTTCTGCTTCTAGCTATACATACTTGTCAAGTCATTCAATATTTTTGGTCTGACTTTTCCTACCTGAAAATATAGTTTATTACATAAATTGGTGAGGGGGAGAAGAAATATATTATGCTAGGTATGGGAATACAAAGATTAAGACTCTGACCTGGAAGAGCTCACAGTCTTGTATGAGGAATAGGGAAGAGGAGGTGGGAGGGAGATGTAGAGGGAAAAAGAGGGAGTAACTAAGTCAATAATCTCAATATACCTCATTCCTGATTTACTAGAGTTTTCTAAAAAAAGAAAACATGTCATCAAACAGAAACAGGAACAATTCATTCTTCCTAACGACTCAGAGCAGGCTTCATGGAGGAGGTGATACTTTTTCTTAGTTCTTAATGATGAAAAGAAGTTCATCGAGGAAAGAATAGGATGGAGAAGAAGACAGCAGTGAGGAAGACAATTCCAAAGTGGGGGTGCATGGTGTAACCACTAAATTCCTTCCCATCCTGACAATCTAAGTCCAGGGGTAATGGATGTCTGGGGTGTGGAACTGGACACCCAACAGCCTGTATTGTTCTCCTCCTTTATCTGTAGAGTGACTTGAAGTCACTACTAACATTTCCTTAAAGGCTGTTAGCTCCGGATCCATCATTCACAGAGAGGAATAATCTTGAGTCTTAAGCCACAGTCTCTCAGGAGAGGAAGTTCACTAACTATCAAGACCGGTTACCCTCCCTCCACAAAACATCAAGGTTAGCTGTGAGGAAGGATTGGTGACCAGTGAGGCTGCAGTGGTAGCATCATCACTCTGGTGTTTCATAAACCCCCTTCAGTAAAGCACATTGAAGCCAATATGGTACCAAACACTGGAATAGTTACCCAGGAAGGGAGACTGTAGGATGAGCTTCTCGCTCAAAGTGTTTAAATGTGAGAGAGGTTGTCATCTAAGGGAGCAGTTAGCCAGGCCTGCTTCAAGGGCTGGAGCATGGAGGAGATGCCAAGGATTCTGTGTTCTCAAAGGAGAGTGCCAGGCAGGTTGTCCTGTGCTTGCTGGATGAGCCTGGGGCTCACCTTTCATGGAGCCAGACCCTTGGGTGAGATACACAGAGGCCCAGAGTTGGGCTTCTCCCACGCAAAGGTGTCTCTCGACTGGCCCAATCTGGAGGTGGCCCATTCCACAGGCCCAATGGGTGTGGCTGCCTGTGTGACCTTTCTGAAGCTTGAGACCCCCTCATGGTTGGAACAAGGTTGGGCAGCTCCTCTGATTCTGGGTAGAAGAAGCCCCCTAACCTTTGACTCTTTTGGGGTGTGATTTCCCCACCCATTAGGAGAAAGCTCCCCAGTGTCTGCCCAGGAGTGGGCCTCACTGGGGTTTGCTTTCCTTGGAGGAACCTCATGGGTAGGTCGCTCCCTTCCTCCCTCCTCTGAAAAGGGTTTTGGATTTCTCGCTACTGACAAGAACAGACACGACAGAACGTTCCTCCAAAGAAGGGGGGAATTGGGGAGGCAGAGAGACTCAGCCAGGTCACACTCATTTGCACACATACTCTGGAGCTCTTGTAGGGTCACAAGCACACACATCATGCCCTCCTAAGCCCACCTCACTCAGATGCCCTCAGCTACAGATGCCCACGAGCTCTGAATCACGTGGGGCTCCCCGAAGGGTGCAGGTGGGTTCTACATTGACAGTCTGGCCTTACACATCACAAGGGAACAAACCAACATTCACGACCAGGGTCTGCACCTGGCACTTTGGACACTTCCTCTCATTTAATTCTCACTGTAAACCAAGTGTCACCATCCCTCATAGGCAGGTGAGGAAACTGCATCCCGGGCAGCCCCACCTTATTTTTTTTTT